TGTGAATAGTCTTCTTAGATGTCATGTCCTTGAACAATGAACCACCAGAACAACCGTCCTTGGCTACTGTAAACATTTGCATGGCCATTACAGTTAATAAAGTGCTTCCACGTACGTAGAAACAACCTGTGTAGGAAGTGGAGGAAAGGCTAAGGGATCATGAGACCTGTGTTTGGATGCTGGTCATGCTATTTGCCATGACCTTGGGCAATTCACTCACCACTCCCCAGCAAATCTTGGTCACCTCATCTACAAATGGGGAGCAGTACATCTAATCCTTCCAACTGCTACCTGGAAGGCACAGGAGATCCCCGCTTCTGAGTGGTAAATGAAATTATGAGATGTGCATGAAGTTTTCACTTGGTACTTGATAAAATGTGCTTTCTTAAAAGTTTGTATTATGTTTTCCAAATTGAATAAAGTATATGTGCAGGGCCAGTACAGGGCAGCAAGTCTAATGAATCTGAGATCAGTTAGGCCACGTGTAGACAGTTGCGTTTCATGTGTTCACTGGTGATCTTCTGTAGGAGCCCAAGAGGCTGACATTCTGATTTTCTTAGGAAGCCAAATGTGAAGGCAGTTGTTTGAGGCTTGCAAAGAAGCCACTGTGCAAATTGAAAACATAAGATGATCTTTAAAGCAACCCTCAACCAATAAATGGCTCTGTTATAAACCTCAAGTGGACACAGCATTTCTATTTTGAGAAATGAAAATTTGCAAAAACAACTAGAAAAGCACTTAAAGTCCCAGAAATGGTGAGGGTATTTATTTCAGAGGAAGTCAGAGGAAGTTTGCTTGCACGTCTTCCTCCCCTCTCTTCCCGATGGCCCTGCTTGATTACAGCAGTACTTCTGTGGCCAGCCTGGAAAAAAGGAGTGTGTCTGTTCATCAGGCATTGATTGTGGGCCTGCTATGTTCTGGGCACTGGCTTTTGTGCTGGGAAAACAAGTCAGATCAAACATGATCTCAGTCCACAAAGGGCTCTTGAAGTCTAGTTTGGGAACTATCTTTCTTGCACCCTGTCTTCCTAAGATTCTGTCCCTCCTTCCTTTCACCATCCTTGATGACAATTTTCCATTCTTTTCAAGTACCCAGTGCTTCTTCTCTTATCAATGATTTCAGATGTTCATTCAGGGAAAAATGACTTCATGTTCCAACTGCCGTGCCTTGTTTCAGAGCACATTGGTTTGTCCACAGTCTCAGCACTGCCCATAGGTATCCTTCCCATTGTCCAAGACCAGCACAAATGCCACCTCCTCCAGGCAGCCTTCCCTCATCACTCAAGTTAGGAATGACTTGTCCTTTCTTTCTGATCCACTTATCCTTTAGCACTGACCATACATCTGCCTTTTTTTATAGCTGTTGGTGTCAATAGATATCTTCCCTGAAAGACTAGGGTGAGAGGATGAGGTGGGATAGCAACTCCCTGCGCCCAGGGCCCATGTCTAGTTACAGTTCCTCTCTACCCCTGCAGCCTGCCTTACCCTGCTGGGTACATTCTATATACTAAAAAAAAAAAAAAAAAGGCTGGATTGGATTTATTTTCTTTGATTTTAGCTGCCCAGAATTAGCTCAATCAAACTCCTGTGTTGGTGGCATTCTGCCATCATGGGTCTTATGTTTTATTTATTTAATATTTTTCTTATTTTTCTTTCTTTATTTTACCTTTCTTTCTTTCTTTTTTCTGTTTTCTTTTTCTTTTAAATATTTTTCTTTAGTATTTATTCTCCACGCCCATTTCCCTTGACCCAACCTCTCCACTCCTGCCATAGACATACACTCTCGTTTCATTAAAGTGCAATCTCATAATCTATCTAAATAACCATGAGGTTATTTGCACATTTATGTGAGCTTCAGTGACACTTGGCATTGTTTTGGATTGAATTTGCCTTTGGCTAAGGGAATGAAGAACTTTGTTACAATTTCAGGCACCAGCAGCCAGTGAAGAAGTGTTTGGGGCAGGGCAGGTGACCCCTGGCACCGTAGTGGAAGGCAGCCTGCTTCCTCTCCAGGCTCCCTCCATCTTACAGCCTTGCGTCCCCACACCTGAGCTCTGTCCCCTCTGGCAGAGCTGTCTACACAGCTGCCATATTGCCAGCTGAGAGGTCCCAGAGTCTTTCTCTGACAAGAGATTATCTGTCCTCCTTGACATATACTGCTATTTGAGAACACCCTTCTCTGTTTCTCTTGTGTCTTTTGTGTTGCACCCCCTGATGGACCACACTTTTGGTGAAGTGCGCTTTTCCTGCCCCCTGGTGAAGAAACGCCAGGGGTACTTAGACCAGCGTTTCTCAAACTTTTTGGTGCCAGGGTCCCTTTACACTCTGAAAAAGTATTAAGGAACCCAAAGAGCTACTGCTTATGTAGATTATATCTATTTATTTGCCATACTAGAAATTAAAACTAAGAACATTTAGAAATATCTATTTAATTTTAAAATAATGCTAAAACTATTAAATATTAACATAAATGACATATTTTTATGTAAAATAAACATACTTTCCAAAACATAAAAAATGTAGTGAGAAGAAAAGCATCGTTTTACATTTTTGGCAATCTTATTAATATTAACATCTGGCTTGGTAAAAGACAGCTAGATTCTCAGATCTTCTTCTGCATTCAGTCTGTAGCCGCATCACACGTCACGTAGCCTTTAGAAAATGCCACTGTACACTTGAGCAAGAGTGAAACAGGCAACCAGTATCTCAGTACTACTATGAAAATTCTTTTGACCTCATCGACATTCAGAAAGGATCTCTGGAACCCCCAGGGGGTCCCCAGACCACAATTTGAGAACTGCCCGCCATCTTAGACCTTCAGTTTCTTGATGGCAAGGCCATTCCCTGTTCATCCTTATAGCCTGGGTTTTAAGCAGGATATGATTGGGACTCAGTAAACCCTGTTTGAAATACTTGGAAATATCCATGCCATTAAGGGTTACGCCACCCATCCCAGCCCCCTGGGAAACACTCCACTTATTCCAGTGCTGCTAGTGCTGACGGTGTTTGGATTCTGATGGAGGACAGTTTCTAGAGGCGCTGGCAGTTTTGTTGAATACCCTCAGCGGTCTCAGATCTCTGTCCTTTGAGGACCATTTGATTTTTGGAAATAGCCAAAGGCCATTTAGAGTGAAAAATGGTCATTAATAGGGGTAGTCAATTGGGTAACACTACATTTAAATTTTTTAAAAAGTCACACTGACTTCTTAATATTTGGATTGTAAAACTACTTTAATAACTATTCCCCTAATTCTATACATATTCACATATGTGCAAAATGTTTGTACAGTTTAATAATGGCACCATCATTTGAAGAACAAAACTTGGAAATAATCTAAATGTCCACTACCAGGAGACCAATTAAATAAACCGTGGGCATCCATAGACTAGAACAATCAGCAGCTGAAAAAAAGAATGAGAAAGTTCTGCACATATTAATAATAAATTAACTCCAAGATACATTAAGTGAAAAAGCAAGAGGCAGAACAATGTATATAGCATGCTATCATCTGTAGGAAAAAAACTGTATTGTGTGTATCTATATGTCTGTGTGTATCTATGTGTTTGTTTGTATATACATAAGGCATATAATAGTTTGGAAATGCTTGTTATCTCCAGGGAACAAAACTAGCTGGCCAGGGTGAACGGTGGAAAAGCAGCCTTCAAGGACTATTCTTTTGTACCTTTAAAATTCGAAACCATATGAATGTTACCTAATAAAACAACTTTTAGAAGCCTCAATAGCATGATTATCAGAAGAAATGTACGATGTATAAGGTGACATGTGCAAAGGGGATATTAGAAGGGGACAGTGTGATGCCTTTGTGGAAAAAATTAGTAATTTTTGTAGTCATGCCTTATTTTTCTTACTCTTGCTTCATTTCACAAAGAGGGAAACTGAGTCCAGGTAGGCTAAGTGACTCATCCACATCACTTGGGCAGGGGATTTCCATACGGCTCCTGCAGATCCCTGTTGGGGAATGTGGTGGTGGGGAGAAGACAGAGGGTGACAGATCCTCTTTCATTTCGTCTTAAACACACTCTCTCCTCACCTCCCACCTGAAGCAAAGGCTGGAGGCCAAAGTAGGAAGTAAGTGCCTTGATAGTGGCTTGTGGGTTCACACCCTCCCCACTCTCTTCCCCAGGCCACCCACATACCCAGGCAGAGCACCTCCTCCTCCAACCTCCTCCAAGACATTGTTTTTGGTATTTGGTTGGCATGCCTCCTCTTTTTCCAAAATTGGCATTACCTGGTTCGATCCTCACCTACTTTATGACACAATTTGGTTGATTCAAAGTGACTTTGGTCTGTTTGAGATCAACTTCTCCTTCAGAGGTTAAAGATTTGCCAGCAACCAAGGGATTCAAAAGGCTGTGGCGGAGGCTCGCCACAATTCCAACAGAGGTTGAGTGGTGATATAAAGGAGTCTCTGGCATTCATTCATTCATTCATTCAACACATATGTAATGAACCTATTCATTGTGTGAGGCACTGTTCTAGGCGCTGGGGACAGAGTGATGATCAAAACAGTTAAGGTGTCTGTTCTTGTGGAGCTTACTTACATCCATTTGTTTGTTTGTTTATTTAAATTACTGAAGTGACATTGGTTAATAAAATCCAATAAATTTCAAGTGTACAATTCAATAATATGTCAAATGTACATTGCATTGTGTGTTCACTGCCCAAAATTAAATTTCTTTCCGCCACCAAATATTTGACCCTTTTTACTCCTATACACCTCCCTGGACCTAACATTCTAGTGATGAGAGTCTGACAATAATCAAGTAAACCAATAAATGATCGAGGTAAATTCATATACTAATAGATCAGAGGGGGATGTGGCAGAGAGGTTGCGGGGCTGACTTCGGACCATGTGTTTGGGGAAGGACTATGTGAAGATGCCTTCTTTAAAAGGAATGCTACCTCGCTGCCTTTAGAGGCCCTGCCCTCCAGTGGCAAGATTCTAACATTCTCCACATCCAAAAGGTTCTTGTGGAAGAATGAAAGAGATAGAGGTGAAGAGAGGAGCCAGCTCCCTGGGGTCCTGTGTCTGCCAGCTGCTACTAAATACCTGTGAGAAACTCTGCCTCCAGCTCAAGGGGACCACCTGTCCTGAGAACTTCAGTACCTGGGACAGGAACCCCCTGAGTGGATCCCTTGTCAAAATGAATTGGACCAACTGTATGTTCCAAGACTCCAGAGCCAGCGATGCCTTCCTGTATAACTCCACACCATTGTTCTGCTCAGGTAAGACCAGCTGAAAATAGGCAAAGTGGCTATTACTGTTAAATAATAGTCTGAACATTTAGGTCTTAAACAACCCTTCGAGGCAGGTATTCATGCTATGCCCATCTCACAGATGAAGAAAACGAGGCTCAGAATGGTTAAGTGACTGTCCTAAGATTACGCATAGGAAGTGTCTGAGACCCTGGTCACTGGACTCTCAATCTCAGGCTCTTCAATGATACCATCCTCCATGCTCATTCCCCTCACCCCCACCGACCCTCCTCTGTCTTCCTAGGATATGTCCTTCTCTTTCTGATCCTAGATGGACACCCTCATGCTGTCTGTCCTTTTTGCTGTAAACAGGTATGCCCTACCACAGCCAACCTCCCCCAGATAGTGTCCTAGACTCTCCTCTCATCACTCTGAACTTACGTGTGACATTTCACCCTACCCTGCCCCACACATCAAGCCCTGTGACTTGGTACTTCATCTTGGGATATAGACAATGGGAAGATCTGGTTTCCAAGTTCCCTCCCTACGCCTTGCCCAGAAGGTGGGCAGGAGCTGTCAAAGAGAAACTTGATGAGGTCAGCCATCTTACTCAGAAAGGGGACAGGAAAAAATGCAGAGAGGAAGTGAGACGTTAAGGTGCCTGACACAATTCCATCTGGCCTTAGTGCCCTAGGAGGCTGTGATTCTTGCTGCATCTACCCCTGGGTGCTATTTATCGTCAGTGGATATTAGATTGCCTTATTGATCCTGTATATTCCCTCTGCTTTACCTTGGCAGCAGTTTCTGCATTTGGGTGCCTGAGTAGGCAGCTCCCTAAGACATGTGTTTGGAGGAGTGTTGCCCTATGATTGGGAATGAATCACACAGCTCCACTTTATTGGGAAGGAAATAAGAAGAGGTCTGAGTGCAGGAAAAAAGAACTTTGGGGTTGGAGTTGAAAACATGACTCACGTCCTGGATCTATCAGTTAACCCACATGGCTTATACCTAGACAGCAGGAGAGTTTGGCTAATATGTTTTAAGATTCCTTGATGAAGGAGAAAATTTTCACAATGTGAATAATGGGACCACTACTTCCTCACCACACCACGGACAGGCTCTCATACTTGCCACCGCCACCCGGTTTCAGACCAACTAGCTGATGTCCTGACCCCTTCCTACCCACTCCATGCCCTTCCAAGTGTACCTAACACCTGCATCATCCTGGCTGTCTTCTTTCTGGACCTCCTGTCATATATGGTAACCTTTAATCCTTTGTAAGAATGGTAGAACTCAAGACTGAAATGATTATATAAAGGCAGCAAAGTGTAGTGTTCATAAATGCATAATTTTAAGTTAGAGAGACATGACTTCAAGTCCAATTTCTGCCACCTACTAGGTCTATGACCTTGAGCTTGTTTCTTTACTATAAGATGGAAATAATAATTATTCCTATCTCATCGTCTATTTATAAAGATTAGATGAGATAATAAATATGACCAGCATATATTAAGTCCCCAATAAATGATGGCTAATATTACCATTTAGATCCTCTAGAGCTCATTTGCATGTGTATTATCTTAGTCAGTTTAGGCTGCTATAACAAATTACCATATACTAGGTGGCTTATAAACAGAAATTTATTTCTCATAGTTCTGGATGCTGGTAAGTTTAAGATTAAGACCCTGGCATGTTCAGTGTCTGGTGAGAGCCCACTTCCTGGTTCATAGACAGCTCTCTTCTCACGGGTAGAAGGGGGCGAGGGGGATCTCTGGAGTCTCTTTTATAAGGGCACTAATCCCATTCATGAGAGCTCCACCTTCATGATCCAATATCTCCCAAAGACCTCACCTCCTAAAACCATTACACTGAGAATCAGGTTTTAACATATGAATTTTGGCAGGACACAAACTTTCAGCATGTGTATAAGAATTACTCTCAAATTTTCTTTTTTCCCCCTCTCTGTCCCTTTCTTCAGAGAATATCACCACCCCGAATCCAGAGACTACACCTGAAGAACGGAGCAGGTGGGTAAGGGAAGGGCTGGACCTATGGAGGAGCGCTGGGGATCTTGGGAAGGGTTCTATTTGGCCCAAATATGAAGACTGGTGTAAATGGGACCATAGCCATGGAGACTTGGGCAGAGGAGAGAGGTTCAAAATGGGAGCAAGAGATAATTAGCTACTGAGGACATAGAAACACAGATGTAGGAGCTCTGTAGGAGTGGGGAGGTCCCTGGGCACTTTTATGAATGGTCACCAATGCTAGCCAGGGTAGCTGGAGTGTCCTCATTTCTCTTGTTTGCTTTCCTCAGCTTGGGCACAGCGGCCACAGCCATTTCCGGTTCCATTGGTGTTGTAGCCCTTATCTTGCTCCTGGTGGGTCTCTTGTCCATGACCCTGAAGAAATGGAGGCATGAGAGTGAGTTGAACAAGTTGGCTCTGGAACTGGAAGTGTAGAAGGGGGAGAAACTTGGGGTGGAGATGGGGCAAGATTTGCAGGGAGAAGCGTGGGTAAGCTGTATGGTCTCTTCTGTGAAGGTGCAAGGGACTCTGCATGTAGCAACATTTATTTATGACACAAATTCTTTATGCTGAAAGCCATCTGTATGTACACTATGGTTCATATGCATCGACTAAAAGAAATATTGATGCCAAATAATCTCATCTAAATAATAACCAAAAACTATAAAGTGCACCAGTATCACCCCTCCACCCCCCACCCCTGTCTCTTCCTGAGCATTTAGCTGAGTCTCAGAGGCCCAATGGGTTGAACATGGTAGATTTTGAATTTCAAAGTTTAACCCGAAGTCTAACAATCAACCAAGTATAGATGGTTATTGTCCCAATTCAGGCTGACTCTGAGTTTGTTAATTTTTCTAGGACTATTTAGGAAACAACTGAGGCATCAGACCAACTTTCTCTACAAATCCTCGGTAAGGAGAGTTAAGTCATACCTAGAGGGGCTCCCAGTCACCTCTGCCATGATATCATGCTCTTTCCTAGATAGACCCCATACATGGGTGGTGGGTGTGAGCCAAGAACAGCCCTAAAGGAAATGTTTTTGAAAATCGAGGGTATCCATCAGTAAGAACCCAGTGTTCCACTTGCTGTCCTGTAGGAAGCCCTGTAGCGGGTTTGTCTCTGGAAGCTCTGGTGCCCGGCCATCTGACTCTAACTGTGGTCCTGTCTCTAAAGCAGCTTTCCTGCCGTGCTGATGCCGTATATTCCAACGTGATCAACCTGGCCACCTGGAAAGAGGATGACTTCGCTGTCTATGCTAATGTGCCCCCTTTTGATCGTCCCAGGAGGACATCACCAGACCAAGTGGAATATGCCTCCATTGTATTCCACTGATAGGAAGCCAATGAGATGCTTCAGCACAGAGAGTCAGCCCTATGCCCTGGCCAGGTCCTGACATGGTTTTTGCTTTAGATGTATGTGAGTTTGTGTGTTCAAAAGTGCATAAAGCGTATTCTGATGGAGGTAAATGACTGTGTATTTCTTTTTATTTATTGGAAGCAAGGTACAGTCCTAATGAAAAGGAATGACATATGTGCAACAAGGAACATGCTCGTCCTAACCACCTGCAGCCCCAGGTCCCTGAGACAGACTGGCCAACAAGGGAGGCCTTTCTAGCTCTTGCCCTTCCTGAAGCTAGGTCTAAGTAGAGAAATTTACACTATTCAGGGCCCAGCTTCTGGATTTTGTCTCTCCTGTTCTGCCCTGTCAGGAATTAATACCCTGTAGGAGTTCATTGTGAGTCATGCTCCTGTGTGCGGAGATGTGAATGGCTGATGACCTTGAATGTCTGGACAATACCCCAAGGGTTGGGGGAGGAGGTGCGGGGGCGGGGGTGGGGCACTGCTTCTTAGAGAGTGAGACGTGAGCTCCCACAAAGAATGGAGGGCCATCAGGGAAGGAGTTGGAGAAGAAGCGCCTAGGGTAGGTGGGTAGATGTGGTGACTAAGGACAGCTCCCACGGGAACTTTGGAAGATGTCTGGAACTTTGCGATTGAGTCACTTCTTTTTCCATTCATTTAAAAACATTTATCAAACACCGCCATGACCTAGACTCTGGGAAGATAGTGGTGAACCCAACAGACAAACCCTCGTGCAGCTTACTGACTAGGAGAGGGAGACAAGCAATGAACAAACAAGTAAATGCATGGAGTGCCAGGTGGTGGCATGTGCTATGAAGAAAATTAAAGCAAGTTTTAGAAGGTAGGGAATACCAAGTGGGAGCGGGTTGCTCTTGGATTGTCAGGGAAGGCTCGCTGACACTTGACCTGAGAAAAAACCGAGAGTAAGACCTGAGGATTAATGAGGAAGAACATTCAGGAAGAAGGGACAAGAAGTGCAAAGGCCCTGAGGTGGAGCGAGACTTACATGATCCAAGAACAGCAAGGAGGTGAGTGTGTCTGGAGTGGAGGGGGCGGCAGGGGAGATGAGATCTGTGCAGCAAATCAGCTCCAGAGTTTGGGAATCAGTGACTCAAGGCAGTGTTTCCTGCAGCATAGTCCATGGGACGTTAGTGCAGAGCTGACTGGTCCTTTGGGGCTCCTGCCTCTGGCTGTACCGCTCTCTGCACTCCCATTGCTCCCATTGTTCAAATCCAGATTTCCCCCTCATTTATAGGGGCCTGATTCCTGGTCTCCACTGCACCCTGATCTTGTCATCACCCAAGGTGATATCAGCGGCAACGTAGACAGACAGTCCTCCCTCCCTCTGAGTTCAGAGTTCCCCAAAGTGTGTTCCTCTAGTTGTGGAAGACATTAGTAGGTCAACGGAGATGGAGAGATTAAATGACATGGCTAAATAAGTTTGGGAAATAATGAATAAGCAAAAAGTAATGGAGAAAAAGAAACTTTTACTTAAAATCAAGCTGAAGGAAGCTACTTTTTGTCTTCTAAGGAAGATGGCATGGTTCACATCAGTAAGAAAAACATACCTTATGGCTTCATCCACTTATAGGGACAGGTGAGGGAAGGAGAAAGGAGGAAGGAAACCTGACAATTTCCAAGCCTCTGCCACCTTTTCTGCATTGATAAAGGGCAAGTTCTGGAGTAGACAGTTTTTGTTTTAATGGAGATATATAATGATCATGTGCCCTGGGTTTCTGGGGACTTTCCTGGTGTATGTCTGTTGTCCCAGTGAAATTATTACTAGGTCCCCTTTCACTCTCACAAGTGTCATAGTTTGGATGATAAATTACGTGGTCCCCTGTTAACAAGATTTTGAAAGTGAAAAGTAGGTCCATGAGATCAAGTAAGGAGGGAAAAGAGAAGTTGTCTTGTACAATAAAATGAGGAGCATGGAGTTGGGATTGGGGAGAAGGGTGCTGGAAGAATCGCGCGTTAGGGGGATAGCGAGGAAAGTTTCGAGGGGAAAGGGGGCTGAAATCACGGAAAAGACTTGCACCGCTGCGACCTCATCGAAGGCTGTTGAACACACCAATGCCATTGCGGGTATTTTGGGGAAGGGAAAATCATGCAAAGGAGACTGAAATCCACATCTTGGTCAGCAGAGAGCAGAAATAAGGGGGAAGTAGTAAGAGGTGCAATATAAATGAGTCTGACAATTCAGGGGGAGGCTGAACTCAGAGCCAGGAGTGACTACGAGAGCACGAACCCTCTGGAAATGCTCAGAAACTGCAGGGAGGGCACCAGAGTGTCCAAATAACCTACATGTGGGAGACTGTGCCAATGTGTTTAAATCTTAACGGATAGGTTGACCTCAGCATAACTCTGGGTTGTAAAATTTAAACAGGTTTTTTTCATCACAAGACTTCTCAGAGCCTTCAATATGTAATGTACTTTTTGAAGAGCCATGTATTTGTTATTTTTTAAACTCCTATTTTCTCATAGAGCATCTCATAGGACAGGAACTGTTCCTTATGAGGAAAGAGCTTGTTTAAGGGGGCACCTGCCCAGGCGGCCCTATGACATGGGACCCCAGCAACAAGGCTAACTCTATTCTTCCCAGTGAAAGTGCAGAGTAGCTATTAGACTTTCATGTGGGCAAATGGGGTGGCTCTGCCTGGCCTGAAGCCAGGAAGCCCCCTCTACCAGCCTTGATTTGTGCCCAACAGCCCCGAATCATTAGGAAGGCAGCAAGAGACATCTCTCTGGGGCAGCAGCTCTCAGCGGGGAGCAATTTTGCTCCCCCTCCCATGTGAAAATATCTGGAGACACCTTTGATGGTCACAACACAGTGGGGGGTGTGTGTGTTCTACTGGCATCTCGTGAGTAGAGGCCAGGGATGCTGTTAAACATCCCACAATGCACGGGACGGCCCCCCACAAACAGAGTTATCTCACATAAAATGTCAACAGTGACGCAGTTGAGAAGCTCCGGTCCAGGGTCTTCCTGGAGCTTGCGTGTGAGCCTGTCCTGGTGCTGGTTCCTACAGAGATCTAGAAAGTGTTGCCCAGGCTCTCTATGCCTTAAGCTTGAGAGACGTGGTAATTCCAACAGCAGTAAAATGAGCACTAGATAATGATTAGGAAATCTCTCCACAACTAGAAGGATGGATGATCAACCAACCTGATTTGCCTGAGACTGTCTCAGTTTTAGCAGTAAGAGTCATAGGTTCCAGGAAATCGCTCAGATCTGGGCTGTTGGCTCCTAGGGCTCTCCAACACTGAATTAGCCTTTGTAGTTTTGAAGCAAGCAGCTGTCCTTCTCAGTTAGGATGGGAGAATTCTGGACTTTCAGCTACAGCCCTGAGGGAAGTGACTTGTATGATCCAAAGAGGCCCAGGTATTGGGCATTAAGACAAATTCCTCCAGCTCTTCTTTAAAAAAAGCTGTCCGCACCCCCAGCTGGGCAGGGGTAGCTGTCTTTCTCTCCTTGCCAGCCACCCACACCCACGGTTCCAGCTTGCATCACTCTCGGAGGAGCTGCTCAGTGCATTTTGCTGAAAGAGTGAATGGATGCTGTTTTTCTAGAAGATTCTTGGGAAATTCTGTTAAGTGAGTTGAGGAGCTTCTCAATGTTTGGTCATATGGCAGTTGTTACTTCTCCTGCAAGGCTCTGAACATACCCAAGGAAATGCTATCTGTTTTAACAAAGGCAGGGATTTGGAACATTAAACACTTTGCAAAATCCTGAGAGAAATCTCTCTGCATGGCTGGAAATGAGGCTCACCTGCTCTCTTAATGTCTTTATCAGAGGATAGAAAAAAGCCAGCTTCTCAATGCCCAGCAGGGAAGTGTTTTATTACTGACATTATTTAGAATTACTGTGCATGGTGATAATAAAAAGCAGCTGGCCTTTAGTTGATTTTTTCTTTTTTTAATTATTATTATTTTAAATCTCCTACAGACAACTCACCCCTTTCATGCCTGCTTCCAGATGGACAGCTTCCTCTGCCACCTGCCCCTCCATCTTGGTTCTCCATTCCCCTTTCAGCTGTCAGTCTTGGCCCTTCACTTACTGTGTAAAACCTTTGTCAAGTTAATGAATTTCCCTAAATCGAGGTTTTTCTCATCTGTAAAACGAAAATAATAATGACGACCTCACAGATAGGTATTATCTAATGATGTTCTATGAAAATATTCTGCAAACTATACGATGCTATAGAGAATGTAAAGAATCATTATCAACTGATTATGTCACAGTTGATTAAGTTACAAGGAGTTATTTCTCGCTGATGAGCTGACTGGACTAGATCGGCAGGACTATTTTGTTGTCATTAGAAGGAAGTGGCAATTATTGGTTAACATATTTTTTCTTAGAATCTGCCTCAAGTTTCATTTGGCATCAGCTCCTCACCATGGGAACTCAATAAATAAATCAATCGCTGGCCAATAATTTTTCACTTCCTTAGGAATGGGTGATCCAGGTGAGGAGTTGAAACAGACACAAAACAGGGAGAAAATGTGTGTGCAAAATGGGCTAGCCCGGATGGAGGAAAGGACACCCTCAGTGTGCAAAACTCCCAACTTGCAAAAGTGTGGAGGGATGGTCCTTATTTCCAAAAGAGTCTTGTTTTTATAGGAGGATGTATTTTAGGTTTTGTAAAAATAGTTTACTCCCTTAATATTCTCTGAAAATATGTTTCTGGGAATAGATGTTAAAAACTCAATTTACTGAATTTGCCAATGTCCCCTGGATACACCTCAGATGCGGCAATCTCGACTATGCACAAAGAAAGTTGGGGGACAGCCAGAGGCCCCAACAAGTAAGACGAATGTTCCTTGAGGCTTAACATCTGTGCACTCCCACTCCATTCCCCTTGTGTCCTTGTCATGCCCTTAGGGTCTCCTTGGCAGGCTCCACCTGTCCCTCAGATATTATAGCACTTCGGGGTGCCTCCTGGCCCTTTGTCCTCCACTCTACTCCCAAAGACTTCAGTGACTTCTGTTTTCTGATGCCACTGAAATCTATATCTCTAACTGCAGACAGACACACACATCTAACTGCTTACTGGACTTCACCTTTTAGGTGTATAATAAAACAATAATGATGATAATGATA